CTCTTTCACTTTCATCAAAAGGCTTTTTAGTTTGCTTTCTGCCATAAGGGTGGTGTCATCTGCAGATCTGAGGTTATTAATATTTCTCCTGGTAATCTTGATTCCAGCTTGTGCTTCCTCCAGCCCAGCATTTCTCATGATGTACTCTGCATATAAGTTAAATAAGCAGGGTGACAATATACAGCCTTGACATATTCCTTTTCCTATTTGGAACCAGTCTGTTGTTCCATGTCCAGTTCTAACTATTGTTTCCTGACCTGCATACAGGTTTCTCAAGAGGCAGGTCAGGTAGTCTGGTATTCCCATCTCTTGAAGAATTCTCCACAGTTTATTGTGATCCACACAGTCAAAGGCTTTAGCATAGTCAATAAAGCAGAAATAGATGTTTTTCTGGAACTCTCTTGCTTTTTCTATGATCCAGTGGATGGTGGTAATTTGATCTCTGGTTCCTCTGCCTTTTCTAAAACCAGCTTGAACATCTGGAAGTTCACAGTTCATGTGTTGTTGAAGCCTGGCTTGGAGAATTTTGAGCATTACTTTACTAGTATGTGAGATGAATGCACTTGTGCAGTAGTTTGAGCATTCTTTGCCATTGCCTTTCTTTAGGATTGGAATGAAAACTGACCTTTTCCAGTCCTGTGGCCACTGCTGAGTTTTCCAAATTTGCTGGCATATTGAGTGCAGCACTTTCACAGCATCATCTTTCAGGATTTGAAATAGCTCAATTGAAATTCCACCACCTCCACTAGCTTTGTTTGTAGTGATGCTTCCTAAGGCCCACTTGACTTCACATTCCAGGGTGTCTGGCTCTAGGTGAGTGATCACACCATCATGATTAACTGGGTCATGAAGATTTTTTTGTACAATTCTTCTGTGTATTCTTGCCCTTTCTTAATATCTTCTACTTCTGCTAGGTTCATACCATTTTTGTCCTTTATTGAGCCCATCTTTGCATGAAATGTTCCTTGGTATCTCTAATTTTCTTGAAGAGATCTCTGGTCTTTCCCATTCTATTGTTTTCCTCTATTTCTTTGCACTGATCACTGAGGAAGGCTTTCTTATCTCTCCTTGCTATTCTTTGGAACTCTGCATTCAGATGGGTCTATCTTTCCTTTTCTCCTGTGCTTTTCACTTCTCTTCTTTCACAGGTATTTGTAAGGCCTCCTCAGACAGCCATTTTGCTTTTTTGCATTTCTTTTTCTTGAGGATGGTCTTGATCCCTGTCTCCTATACAATGCCACAAACCTCTGTACTAAGCTTAGGGATGAATTGAATTGATTCTTTCCTATCAAAGCAATGGACTGAAAGGCTATTCTTTTTCAGAAGTCTTTAAGAACTGACAGGCAGGAAGGTCAAAGGCACAGCACTTGCTAACTTTCTGACCCCTCACTCTGCCCTCTGATTCCACTTTGGACACGTCATCCTTCTTTGTGTCATCACCTCACCTCAGAATGTGCTCAGAAATCACTTCTTTTGTTGCCCTGTTACTCTGACAGGTTCTTCAATTACCTTACTGCATATCCATACAAAGCATGATGTTCAATTATCAAAAATAATATAACACAACAACTACCACTCAGAAACAGCTATTAATCATTCACTAATTGAACAAACAAGTGTTGAGCTGGTTTTATGTATGTCACCTCTGCCAAGAGCTAAAGATATGAGGATGAAGAAGACGGGGGTAATTCATGTTCTCAGAGACTATAAAGTCTGGCATGTAAAAGGCACTTTTTTTTTTTTTTAGGTTTTATTTTATTTTATTTTTTTTTCATTTATTTTTATTAGTTGGAGGCTAATTACTTTACATCATTGCTGTGGTTTTTGTCATACATTGAAATGAATTAGCCATGGATTTACATGTATTCCCCATCCCGGTCCCCCCTCCCACCTCCCTCTCCACCCGATCCCTCCGGGTCTTCCCAGCGCACCAGGCCCGAGCACTTGTCTCATGCACCCAACCTGGGCTGGTGATCTGTTTCACCCTAGATAATATACATGTTTCGATGCTGTTCTCTTGAAACATCCCACCCTCGCCTTCTCCCACAGAGTCCACAAGTCTGTTCTATACATCGGAGTCTCTTTTTCTGTTTTGCATATAGGGTTATCGTTACCATCTTTCTAAATTCCATATATATGTGTTAGTATACTGTAATGGTCTTTATCTTTCTGGCTTACTTCGCTCTGTATAATGGGCTCCAGTTTCATCCATCTCATTAGAACTGATTCAAATGAATTCTTTTTAATGGCTGAGTAATATTCCATGGTGTATATGTACCACAGCTTCCTCATCCATTCGTCTGCTGATGGGCATCTAGGTTGCTTCCATGTCCTGGCTATTATAAACAGTGCTGCGATGAACATTGGGGTGCATGTGTCTCTTTCAGATCTGGTTTCCTCGGTGTGTATGCCCAGAAGTGGGATTGCTGGGTCATATGGCAGTTCTATTTCCAGCTGTAAAAGGCACTTTTAAAAACTGCACAAATAGTTGTTAGTTGTGATATACATTCTGAAAGAAAAGTGCAGGATGAACTGAATCTATAGCAGAGGGATCCTCTGTCCGGGAAAGCTAAGAATTCTCTAAAGAAATAACATTCAACAAAGTGTTAACTATACTGTGACCTGAAGAAGGAGACAGGTGGAGGGAGGAGCTGAGCACAGATCAGGGGAGGAGGAAGCAGAGGGAACTAAGTATCAAGACGTTGACCTCTGTTATCTTACTGGATATGCAAAATGAGAGCTTGACCCTACAGTCATAAGAAATGGGTTTCTGAATCAGCTGTGCCACTTAGCTGACATATGACCCTGGATAATTCACTTAATCTCTCTTATCTTCAGTATATTCATCTATAAAATGTGGATAATAGCTGTCCTATAAATTTCACAATGTTGAAAATACCTTCACTTAGCATATCAACTGGCACAGAAAATAAATTCCACAATTTTTTTGTGAGTTCAGTTATAATTCCTGCCAACTTTTGTATAAGCAGGAGGGCACAGAGCATAAAAAAGCCAGGCATATAGCTTTTACTTATTGCATTCAATTGGTTCCAGGCTTCCATAAAAGGCAAGAGTTCCCAATCTTTTTGGCACCAGGGACTGGTTTCATGGAAGACAGTTTTTTCACAGACCAGGGGTTGGTTGGGGGCGGGGGGGGGAGGTGATTTCAGGATGATTCAAGAGCAATACATTTATTGTGAATTTTATTTCTGTTATTATTGCATCAGATCCACCTCATATCATCAAGCCCTAGATCCCAGAGTTTGGAGACCCCTGATATAGGGTATCCTTTAGTTGGGAGCTAATTCACCTTCAAACCTTTCTCCTTTCTTCTTAAGTGGTGACTAATAGTTTTAAAATGAAGACAGGACCAAAGAACTGTCATGAAAGAGAGGTATTTAAAGAAAGTAGACTTCTTTCTAAAAAATATGTATAGTATAATTTTAGATTGTCCCATGGCCAGGACACTATAATTTTAGATTGTTTCAGGGCTCCCCAGGTGTCACTAGTGGTAAAGAACCCACTTACCAATGCAAGAGACGTAAGAGATGTGGGTCAATCCCTCGGTCAGAAAGATCCCCTGGAGGAGAGCATGGCAACCCACTCCAGTATTCTTAACTGGAGAATCCCACTGACAGCGGAGCCTGGTGGACTATGGTCCATAGGGCCACAAGGAGTCAGACATGACTGAAGTGACTTAGGACATACACATGCGAGGCCAGGAAGCCTTATGTGTCCAAGCTATTCTGAATCTCAAGTATTAGAGACTGTCTGCAAAGAAAAGATGGTAGAAGTCACACACGCTATAATTCACATGTTTTCTAGGTTTAGATTGATGATGCAAATCAAGGAACGCTAGTTAAGTACCAAACAGCAGATCTGGGGTAGTGATAAACTTAAGAAACTTCAGCTGTGGCCTTGACACAAGAAGATGCACTTAATGGATTGATGTTCCTCCATCCAAATATTGATTGAAAAAGCTCACAATAATTATGACAAGACTAAATAACACATTTACCTGTCCACGGGCCAAGCTTCCAAAAGACCAGAGGACACAGCCAACAACTCAGAGTAACCACCATTAACAAGAATGAGACTCTGCAAAAGCTACTAGTTTTGTAAGGCAGATGTATCCTTTTTCCTCACCTTAGTAACAGCATTAAGCTTTTTGCTCTGAATAAAAGAATCAAAATTGCTTTCTGAGTGACTGGCTATTTCACAAAACTTCCAGAGAGATAAACCTTTCACCTCTAGCTGCCTAGCCTGAATCAGTATGCCTGAAATTTACTACCATTTAAAGCCAAGTGTTGACCTGTGTGAAATGAAAGGTTACAGAACATAATGCCACACAGGCAGGTTTCAACATTTCAGGGTGACATTTGAATCAACGATGCAATAGAAAAGCTGGAAGGAACGCAGAGGGTTAAATTGCTCTGACAGGGTATTTATTTTTAAAACAAATACCAGAAAGAAATTTAACAAGCCATAATTACACACTAGATGAATGCAGAAGGATTATTTGATGTTTCAGAAACCACATGACTCACTGTATGGGCAGCAGCTGTGCCGAGCTTTGTAAAATGTTTAATGCATGAGCCCCCCTATGCACACACATGCTCATGTGTGCTCACTCTTATACACACACACCAACCCAGAGAGTCCCGTTGCTCTTTTCTTCCTAGTGACTCTACTTTTTCTTAAGATCCTCTCTCACTTGTAACATTCAGACTCTTCTAAACTATAAGAGTGACCTTTCAGGTATTACATTACAAAGAAGAATGAATCAGGAAAAACAAGAAAACTCAAGACCCATCTTGATCATTTCATTATCCCCTTAAAAGGGGGCTTCTACCTCCACATTGTTCCTCTGCATCAGAGGACCCTGATGCTTATTTCAATAGGTGGCAGCCCTAGAGAGAAAGGCTGGTAGATCTTGTCATAGCAAAGCCCATTAACAATTCCCAGGAAATAAAAGGAGAATCTAGGTAATAAAGTCTAACCTTTTCCCTTTCTTCTGTGCTTCCTCTGTCCACTTGCTCAGAGGGAAGTGCCTGCAGAAGCCTCACATAGGGCACTTCAGACCAGAGTTCGTCGTCAGAGAGCTCTGAGCCCAACTTCTCAGCTGGGGGAGCCACGTGCAGAAGTCGGGCACACGACACCATGAAGACCACAGCGGCAGTGTGCAGGGAGGCTGTGCGGGCCCCGCAGCCCCGAGCTGGTGGGTCACAGGCAGGAGCGCTGAGCACAGAACCGGGGTTCAAGACGGTGGCCGGATGCGCCGACGCGGCGCCCAGCTCTGCAATCGCAGCCCTGAGCAGCGCACCTGCACTCACCCTTTCTGACGCTAAAGCAGCTCTATCCCACCACCGCTGGGGGACAGCCTGTGATCTTGAGCAGGAGCCTCCACCTCTCCATTCTCTGATCAAAGCTTCCCTTTGCTTCAGAACCAAACTCAGGCTTGTTCTACTGGCATGAGCGACATGAGGCAGGAGGATCCTTGTTGGCAGGGGACTCAAAAATTGCAGTAACTCCTCAATCAATGGGAAAGCCTTGAACTAGCAGTATGTTCAGGCTCACCCCTGTTTCACTGAAACCACTTTTTGAATGAAAATACACCACGAGATGATATCCTTGGGCCTGATACTGTCACTGCTTAAACTGTAATTTGACATACAGTCACTGGCTGAGGACAGTGAGTGAGTTCCCCCCACCCCGCCCCCAGACCTTGTCCCCATCCTATATTCTAAGACCTCTGAAATCTCCACCTTCCTCAGAGCTTATCCAGCTCCAGAATGCCAGCCTTGGGTACCCAACCCTCTGCATTACAATTCAAGCTTTCCACTTTGCATTCATTGCATCACTCCCATGCTCAAAAAAGTTCAATAGTCCCTATCGACTTTTACTAGATCAAGCTTAATTTTACTGACTTTCAAGGTCTTTCCTAAATGATGTCAACCCACCTGGTCAGCCTGCTTTATCACAATTTGAACAGCTCTAGTCCAGCCCATCACTTCACAGTCAAGACAGCTACCCTGGTTCCTAAGATTTTTCAAATCTGTATCCAGAGCAAAGCTGAAAATGTTTCTCATGGACTGGTATATTCCAATTGGAAAACGTTGTAGTGATGTTTCAGTGGTGGAGATAATTATAAGTCATTTTAGAGTTATTGTTGGACATGTGAATCAAGGAGAATAATTTGACTATTTAAAAGTAGTTTTATTAGTTGTAAGAGGATGTTTCTTTTTAGATGACATAATAACCACCAGAATGAGTGTGTTATTTGAAATATATGCTGATGGGAATTAAATGACCACAAGTAATCTTGAACACAACAGCTTTCAAACTTTAGTCAATATCAGAATCTCTTGGATGGCTTGTTAAAACACAAACTGCCAGGCCCCCATCCCCACAGAGTTTATGAATCAGTAACTCTATAGTGGAATAGAGAATTTCCATATTTAACAAGTCCCCAGGTGACACTGATTCTTCTAGTCAAGGGCCCACACTTTGAGAACCACTATGTGTGTGTGTGTGTTAAATCACTTCAGTCGTGTCCGACTCTCTGCGACCCCATGGATTATAGCCCGCCAGGCTCCTCTGTCCATGGGGACTCTCCAGGCAAGAATACAGGAGTGGGTTGCCATGCCCTCCTCCAGGGGATCTTCCCAACCCAAGGATCAGACTCAGGTCTCCCAAATTGCAAGCGGATTCTTTACCATCTGAGCCGCCAGGGAATCACAAGTAAACATCTTCTATATTGTTTACTTATATGATTTCATAGTTACAATGAAAACCTAAGAGGTTGGCATTACTAATGTATGTTTCTACAGATTAAAAGGGTAAGTAACTTTCCCAGAGACATGGCTAGTAAGCAGTGGAGAAAGCCTTCTAAACTAGGCAATCAATTTCAGTCTTGCATGTTTCTTCACAAACATTTTATATGTATTGATTCTGAAAGTGTCATTTCAAATAAGTAAACAGATGGGTTCCTTCAATGGACACAGTATCTGTCTCTGGGATAAATCGGGGACAACATTGAAGCCGGCATTAAAGGGGACACATTATTCAAACAAAAATAGAACAGTTACCTAGAGCAGATACATGAGGATTAGTCACCAGCATCTTTCTAAAGGAAAAAAAAAAAAGCCCAGCTTCCCTCCACTCTAAAGCTCTTTGGAGGGCAACCCTACATCCTTAGAGGCTAGTGATGACTTGAACATTTTTGCTACAAAGAAATAAATGCTCTCCACACACCCATCCCCCCACCCCCCAAAAAAACTGACCTCTGCACACGTTTCCAGGCTTCAGTCGTTTTTAAAGTATCCCAGGTGATTCTAATGCACAGTCAAGTTTGATATCAGCACTACAAAGCACCTGCTGGATCTCTCCAGCCCAACTTGATCTCTCTAGAAATACAGCTTTGATCAGTTCATTCCATCAGTCCTCTCTGGACCACTGATTCTGCTGAACCCTCTGAGCCAGCCTCTGTTTAGTTGTCACAGACATCAGTTCTCTCTCATAGTACATATGCCCCTCTCAAACATTTCCAGCCTTGTATAGGATGTAGTGGGTTTCTGATTTTGAGGACCTGTGTCAATTCAGTTCAGTTCAGTAACTCAGTTCTGTCTGACTCTTTGCAACCCCATGGACTGCAGCTGCCAGTCCTCCCTGTCCATCACCAACTCCTGGAGTTTACCAAAACTCAAGTTCATTGATTCTGTGATGCCATCCCACCATCTCATCCTCTGTCGTACCCTTCTCCTCCTGCCCTCAATCTTTCCCAGCATCAGGGTCCTTTCAAATGAGTCAGCTCTTTGCATCAGGTAGCCAAAGAATTGGAGTTTCAGCTTCAACATCAGTCCTTCCAATGAACACTCAGGACTGATCTCCTTTAGGACGGACTGGTTGGATCTCCTTGCAGTCCAAGGGACTCTCAAAAGTCTTCTCCAACACCACAATTCAAAACCATCAATTCTTTGATGCTCAGCTTTCTTTATAGTCCAACTCTCACATCCATACATGACTACTGGAAAAACAATAACCTTGACTAGATGGACCTTTGTTGGCAAAGTAATGTCTCTACTTTTTAATATGCTGTCTGGGTTGGTCATAACTTTCCTTCCAAGGAGCAAGCATCTTTTAATTTCATGGCTGCAATCACCATCTGCAGTGATTTTGGAGCCAAGAAAAATAAAGTCAGCCACAGTTTCCATTGTTTCCCCATCTATTTGCCATGAAGTGATGGGACCAGATGCCATGATCTTAGTTTTCTGAATGTTGAGCTTTAAGCCAACTCTTTCACTCTCCTCTTTCAATTTCATCAGGAGGCTCTTTAGTTCTTCTTTGCTTTCTGCCATAAGGGTGGTGTCATCTGCAGATCTGAGGTTATTGATATTTCTCCCGGCAATCTTGATTCCGGCTTGTGCTTCCTCCAGCCCAGCATTTCTCATGATGTACTCTGCATAAAAGTTAAATAAGCAGGGTGACAATATACAGCCTTGATGTACTCCTTTTCCTATTTGGAACCAGTCTGTTGTTCCGTGTCCAGTTCTAACTGTTGCTTCCTGACCTGCATACAGGTTTCTCAAGAGGTAGGTCAGGTAGTCTGATATTCCCACCTCTTGAAGAATTTTCGACAGTTTATTGTGATCCACACAGTCAAAGGCTTTAGCATAGTCAATAAAGCAGAAATAGATGTTTTTCTGGAACTCTCTTGCTTTTTCTATGATCCAGTGGATGGTGGCACTTTGATCTCTGTTCCTCTGCCTTTTCTAAAACCAGTTTGAACATCTGGAAGTTCACAGTTCATGTATTGTTAAAGCCTGGCTTGGAGAATTTTGAGCATTACTTTACTAGTATGTGAGACAAATGCACTTGCAATAGTTTGAGCATTCTTTGCCATTGCCTTTCTTTAGGATTGGAATGAAAACTGACCTTTTCCAGTCCTGTGGCCACTGCTGAGTTTTCCAAATTTGCTGGCATATTGAGTGCAGCACTTTCACAGCATCATCTTTTAGGACTTGAAATAGCTCAACTAGAATTCCATCACCTCCACTAGCTTTGTTTGTAGTGATGCTTCCTAAGGCCCACTTGACTTCACATTCCAGGATGTCTGGCTCTAGGTGAATGATCACACCATCATGATTATCTGGGTCATGAAGATCTTTTTTGTACAGTTCTTCTGTGTATTCTTGCTACCTCTTTTTAATATCTTCTGTTAATGCTTCTGTTAGGTCCTTACCATTTCTGTCCTTTATTGAGCCCATCTTTGCATGAAATGTTCCCTTGGTATCTCTAATTTTCTTAAAGCGATCTCTGGTCTTTCCCATCCTATTGTTTTCCTCTATTTCTTTGCACTGATCACTGAGGAAGGCTTTCTTATCTCTCCTTGCTATTCTTTGGAACTCTGCATTCAAATGGGTGTATCTTTCCTTTCTCCTGTTTTTTGCTTCTCTTCTTTTCATAGCTATTTGTAAGGCCTCCTCAGACAGCCACTTTGCTTATTTGCATTTCTTTTTCTTGGGGAAAAAGACAGGTCTTGATCCCTGCCTCCTGTACAATGTCACGAACCTCCGTCCATAGTTAATCAGGTACTGTCTATCAGATCTAGTCCCTTAAATCTATTTCCCACTTCCACTGTATAATCATAAGGGATTTGATTTAGGTCATACCTGATTGGTCTAATGTTTTTCCCTACTTTCTTCAATTAAGTCTGAATTTGGCAATAAGGAGTTCATAATCTGGACCACACTCAGTTCCTGGTCTTGTTTTTGCTGACTGTATAGAGTTTCTCCATTTTTGTTCAATTGTACAATTATTTCTATTTATCCTGGTAACTGTAAAGACTGGCAAAGGGAGTCAGAGTATTTATTCCAAAAAATATATCCCAGTAGCGGAGAACTCTACTTAATATGAAAACGCTAAGTTTATTGCACCCAGCCTTGTTTTAAGCCACATTTAATATTTTTATATTAAAAAATATATATTTTTTATATTAAATGTCTCTTTATGATAGAATCTAATTCTCTAGCGTAGAGCTTAAAACATTCAAAAATATGCATGAAATGCCTAGAGTTTCATCTATTAATGGCACCTAGGCTTCATTTTTATATGCCAAGTATACAACATGTAGACTCTACCCTTTTCTAAAAATAATTTGAAGAAATATGGAAAGATGTATGTGAAGTCAAATAGCTGAAATTGACATAAAGTAATGATCATTAATCATGTTAAAAAGATAAGAGAAAAGTCAGCTAGGAATTATGAATAAGTGACTTAATTTCTGTAACTGAGTATTAAATTTAGTTCTGCGCTTTATGACAAACAATAAAAACATAGAGAAATATTTGCTGATATTAATTTCACTATACAGAAGAAGAGAGGGAAGACGGGAAAAAAGAAGAGAGAAAGCACATCTGAAAAGACAATATCTTGGAATTAAATTCTGGATAAATTAATAAGTTAAATTTATCTGTCTGTCTGTGGTCCTCACTCAG